CATGAACATGTTAAGTTTCTGGAACATGAACATGTTAAGTTTCTGGACTCAATGTCTTTTTTTTAAAAAAGGAATTGTTATCCAAATGTGCAAAGGTAAAAGGATCATCAGGAGAAATCCAGATGTTTCATATCATGTTCAATGGAGAACAGTAAAATTCAAGAACAGTCACATCAAGTAGCTTTGAAGTAATAATGATGTATTCCATATTAAGCTATAAAAAGGAATATAAAGTAATGTTTCAAGAATAGCTTTGTCCAAGTATTTAACTGAAAAATATACAGCCATTCAATTTGAAAATACAACCAAACAAGTATGCTAATTGCAGCTTCCTGGTACATCTTGGAACAATAAAACAACAAAAATGTTTTGCTTATTAGGCTCAATTTTCAGCATCCCCATTGCTTTTAATCAAAGTACAAGGAATGGAAGATAAGACCAAGCAAAACAACATGAATGGTATGTCTTCAAGTCAGTGCGTAGAATCCCAAACGCCATCTCAAATACAAACCTTGGGGACAACATGTCTAATTTTCAGTTATAGTCTCAATGACATATGATTTGATTTATTATTGTCACGTACCAAAATACAGTGAAAAGTATTATTTTGAGTGCTAACCTGAGTTATCTTTCTGACATTCCCTGTAGATTAACTGCTCACAGATCTAGAAAAGATATTGCTGGGACTGGAGGGTTTAAGTTAAAGGGACAGGTTGGGATATTTTTCACTGGAGCATATGAGGCTGAGATGTTAGATAAGGCATAGATAAGGCGAATAGCTAAGGTCTTTTCCCTAGGGTTAGGCAATTCAAAACTACAGGGCACAATTTTAAAGTGAGAGGAGAAAGATTTAAAAGGTACCTGAGGGGAATACTTTTTCCACACAGACGGTGGTTTATATGTGGAATGAACTGCCCAGAGGAAGTGGTAGATACAGGTACAGTTATAACATTTGAAAGATAATGGGCAGGTACACGAATAATATAGATTTAGGGGCCATGGGCCAAATACAGGCAAATAGAACATAGAACATAGAACAGTACAGCACAGTACAGGCCCTTCGGCCCATGATGTTGTGTCGAACTTTTACCCTAAACCTAAGGTCTATCTAACCTCCACCGCTACCTTATACTATCATCCATATGCCTATCTAATAGCCGCTTAAATGCCCCTAATGAGGCTGACTCCACTACCCTCTCCGGCAATGCATTCCACGCCCCTACCACTCTCCGAGTAAAGAACCTACCTCTGACATCTCCCCTATATCTACCTCCTTTCACTTTAAAACTATGTCCCCTTGTAAAAGCTACCTTCACCCTAGGAAAAAGTCTCTGGCTGTCTACTCTATCTACACCTCTGATCATTTTGTACACCTCTATCAAGTCACCTCTCATCCTTTGTCGTTCTAAAGAGAAAAGCCCTAGCTCCCTCAACCTTTCCTCGTAAGACCTTCCCTCCATTCCAGGCAACATCCTGGTAAATCTCCTCTGCACCTTTTCTAACGCTTCCACATCTTTCCTGTAATGAGGTGACCAGAACTGGACATAATACTCCAGATGTGGCCGAACCAGGCTTTTGTATAGCTGGAACATAACTTCACGGCTCTTGAACTCAATCCCTCAATTAATGAAAGCTAACACACCATACGCCTTCTTAACAACTCTATCCACCTGGATGGCAGCTCTCAGGGAACTGTGAACATGAACCCCAAGATCCCTCTGCTCCTCCACACTGCCAAGAATCTTTCCGTTAACCCTGTATTCTGCTTTCAAGTTTGTCCTTCCATAATGAATCACCTCACACTTTTCAGGTTTAAACTCCATCTGCCACTTCTCAGCCCACCTCTGCATTCAATCAGTGTCTCTTTGTAACCAAGAACAGCCCTCCGCACTGTCCACAACGTGACCCACCTTCGTATCATCCGCGAACTTGCTAATCTACCCTTCCACTCCTTCATCCAAATCATTTACAAAAATCACAAATAGAAGAGGACCCAGAACAGATCCTTGCGATACACCACTCGTAACTGAGCACCATGTTGAATATTTTCCGTCCACTATCACCCATTGTCTTCTAAGGGTCAGCCAATTCTGAATCCAATCTGCCACATTTCCCCCATCCCATGCCTCCATACCTGCTGCATGACTCTACAATGGGGAACCTTATCAAACGCCTTATTTAAATCCATGTATACCACATCCACTGCTCCACCTTCATCCACGTGTTTGGTCACCTCTTCAAAGAACTCAATAAGGTTTGTGAGGCATGATCTCCTCCTCACAAATCCATGCCCACTATCACGAATCAAACTGTCTCTTTCTAAGTGATCATAAATCCGGTCTCTCAGAGCCCTTTCCAATAATTTGCCCACCACTGACGTAAGACTAACTGGGCTGTAATTTCCGGGGTTATCCCTTTTCCCTTTTTTGAACAAGGGAGTGACGTTTGCCTCTTTCCAATCTTCCAGCACTATACCCGTGGACAGTGAGGACGAAAAGATCATCGCCAAAGGCCCTGCGATCTCTTCCCTCGCTTCCCATAGAATCCTTGGATAAATCCCATCAGGCCCGGGGGACTTATCTATCTTCAACTTCCTCAGAATTCCTAGTACATCTTCTTTACTAACATCAACCTCCTCTAGCCTACCTGCCCGTTTCACAATGTCCTCCTCTACAACTAGGTCCCTCTCAGTTGTGAATACTGAAGAAAAGTATTCACTAAGGACCTCTCCTATCTCTTTAGGCTCTGTGCACAAACTCCCTTTACAATCCTTGGTCGGCCCTACCCTTTCTCTGGTCATTCTCTTGTACGTGTAAAAAGCCTGGAGTTTTCCTTGATCCGATCCGCCAAGGTTTTCTCATGCCCCTTTATAGCTCTCCTGAGCTCTTTCTTCAGCTCCTTCCTGGATAACTTGTATCCCTCTAGAGCCTTTTCCGTTCCTCTTTTCCTAAACCTTACATAAGCCTCCTTCTTCCTCTTAACCAGTCGTTCGACCTCTCTCGAGAACCACGGCTCCCTCACTCGACCGCATCTTCTCTGCCTGCTAGGGACAAACATATCGAGCACATGCAGTATGCATTCCTTAAACAATCTCCACATTTCTGTGGTGCTCTTCCCTGACAGCATCTGTTCCCAACTTATGTTACCCAGTTCTTGCCTAACTGAATTGTAATTACCCTTCCCCCAATTATAAACTTTACCCTGCCATATGTACCTATCCTTATCCATGACTATCGTGAAAGAAACAGAGTTATAATCGCTACCGCCAAAATGCTCTCCTACCAACAGGTCTAAAACCTGGCCCCATTCGTTGCCAAGCACCAAATC